CGAAGATATTTCTACAGTACACCAGAACAAGAAGCTACAAAGCACAAACAAAAACCAAAGAACAAAACTCATCAGTATTTCATACAACAAAGTACGGTACTGGGTACCATATTTAAATGGAGTATGCTTAAACTGCTACATTTAAATAAAGACGTGATGGCCAGGCGTGGTGGCGCACACCTGTAGTCCCAGCACTTGGGAGGCAGAGGCAGGTGGATCTCTGTGAGTTCAAGGCCAGCCTGGTCTACATAGTGAGTTCCAGGACAGCTGGGGCTTACAGGGAGACCCTACTTCAAAAAGACAATCAATCAATCAATCAATCAATCAATCAATAAAAATAAAGGGTGATGAAAACAATGAAGAGACCAGAGTATACCATATGAAGATCAAAAGATGCTGAATATGTCAGGGGTGGATGTGATCAAAATACACTGTATACATGTACAAGGATGTCATAATGGAACATTATGAACAACTAATTCATGCTAATGAAAACACTAAAAATTATGCTGAGTGTGGTGAGAAAGGGAAAATGTAGCAAAAAAAGTTAATTGAAATAACCATTTTCTTTGCTATAGTTCCAAGCATGGAACTAGTATCAACGGATAGAAATAATAGAGAGTCTCCCTTAAGATCTTAACCCAGTTATTTCTAGAAGTTTGCTGTAACATATTAAAAATACAGAAAAGCTCACTGTAACATTAAAAGCAAAATATCTGTCCTGCTTCATCTACTGTGCCCCCAACCCAAAAGGAACAAGATCCAATATAAAGAAGGTAGCAGGCTACCTTTCCAGTACACTGCAGGTGCTGTCCTGGCACGGAGAGGGAGGTCACAAACATGGTAAAGCAGCGAAGCAAGAATACAGTGCCCATCAGACTACAGAGCCTTCGCAGAAGGATTGACCTGTGAACAGAGTGACCAGGGGAAGGCAAGATCAGAGGAAAACACTCCAAAAATCCCAGGCATCAAATGTTCCCCTAAAGAGAAAAGCAAGCAGAAAACCACAACTCTTTGAGAAGGATAGGAATCTCCCCCCGGCCACTTATAAAGTTTGTATTAAAATCTGTGGAGACAAATAGGTAAGTATTTGCCTGCGGTGAGGAGACTGGGACTGGAATTAACAATAAAAGGACAGAGAACTTTTGGAGCTAGTGGAAGTGTTCTAAATCTGGATTATGGTGATGGTTGCACAAATATGTGTATTTATTAAATGTAGGCCTATAAAATTAAAGGAAGAAAATATATTTAAATTACAACTCTATAGAGTTTTTTGTGTATGTATGTGGGTGGTTTTATTAGGAAGTTTCATTACATACATGCTGTTATCCTTTATCTTGGAGGACAAGACTCCTAGAGGCCACGTAAAATGTCACTATCCAGTAGGACTCTGCAGTGACAGCAATTCTCTATTAACTGTCCCAACAGCTAGTATAATGCGGCTCTTGAGCACTTGAAGTGAGGCTCATATATCTACATATTTATTTTTTATTTATTTATTAAAATTTTGAGACAGGGTCTCCCTACAGCCCCAGATATCCTAGAACTTGCTATGTAGACCAGGCTGGCCTTGAATTCAGAGATCCCCCTGCGTCTGCCTCTGGGATTAAAGGCATTCGCCACCATGCCTGGCAATAGCAATTAATTTAAATCACACGTGATTTAAATCACACATGTGGCTAGTACCTGGTATGCTGAATAATACAGATCTAAATTAGATTCTAAGAGCACCATTTCAATGAGAAAATATGGCTAAGAGAGCTTAGCATCTGTCCTATGGCTTATAAATTGTTCAAACTTTAAAATGTTATTTTTTGTTATTTTTAATTATGTGTACAGGGAGATGGCAATGTGAACATGAGGGCAGGTGCCCACAGAAGTCTGATGTGTTAAATCTGCTGGATTTGGAGTTATAGCCGGTTATAAACCATCTGATGTTGGTGCTGAGAACCGAACTCAGGTTCTCTGGAAGGTAGCACGTGCTCTTAACCACTAAGCCATCTCTCCAGCCCTTCAAATAATTATAAGATATCCCCTCGTGATTCTGCTTTTGCTCATTAACACTAAACTGGCTAATGAGAGTGGTTATATGATACTCATTCTAAGTATTCCTAACTTAAACTGAAGCTAAGAAATACTAAGTTCTTTAAAGAAAATGCTAAGTTTCATGTTAAGTAGATGTAAAACAAAACCTCTGAATAAGTATACTTTGGGGAACATGAGCTGCCCTATGACATCATTTGTACTGCTATTTCTTTAAATATCCTAAATCTAAACAGACTAAGAGTCTTGGGGACAGGGACTTTTGCTTTACACATTTTCAAAATGTTCTTCTCTCTCAAAACACAAGCAAAGTATGCTGCTAGCTTTAGTGTGCACAACTGGAATGGAGCTCAGGAACTGCCTTTTAACAGCCTTCCAGGGGCTCTAATGAAAGTGATACAAAACCAACACTTTGAGAAATGCCTTCTTTAAGTAAAGAGTAAGTGAATGTTACTACTGGGATTTACCTAGTGACCACTATGCTTTGCAGAGTCTACCAAGGTATCCTGAAAGGTTAAAGTTGTTCTTAAGAGTGGATACATTGAAATCCACAGGGCCTTGTGAGGCAAAGCCAACTACAAAACAACTCGCGTGTTTCTAAACCATTTCTGGCTAAGCATACCTAATTTAAAATATTACTACACACAGGACAAAACGGGAAAAGGGCTCACTGTAGCCTCAAACTGTGACAGGAACAGCAGCTGTCAAACTTTCCACCTTCAATGTACTAAAATTACTGCAGCTCAGGATGTATGTGGTTACCTCAGAACTTCCTGGTCAGGCCCCCAAACTACAAAACACCCTCATTCCTCTCCAGGGTCCAAAGGCAATGGGCAGTAGAGAGTCACAGAATTAAGGGTTTAGCTTTTTTCACTTCAATTAGGCAAGGTTCCTCAATGTAGTGAAAGGAGCCTTCTTGTTCTTACATTTTCCTTATCTTTAATTTTTAATTAATAATAAGCCTTTCCTTTCGATTTCTCAGTGAGCAGGCCAAGAAGCACTTTCCCTATTTAGCAACTTCCTACACTGTCTCAAGGGAGGCACACTTCAGATGTGCAGAGCATGCAAAATCATCTTTTTTAATGGGCCGTCTCCAAACAGAAAACTACTTCCTCCAATCAAACATTTAACCAAACACCGTCCTTGGAAGTGTCTATCTATTCTGCAGAAGTGTCATATCTAGGTCCTTGTTTTTTTCTTGGTCTTTTTGAGACAGGGTCTCCCTGTAGCCCCAGCTGTCCTGAACTATGAAGACCAGGCTGACCTTGAACTCACAGAGATCTGCCTGCCTCAGCCTCCCAAGTGCTGGGATTAAAGGTGTGCACCACCACACCCAGCCCTTCTAGGTTGTTTCTTTAAAAAAAAAAAAAAAAAAAAAAAGAGACTGGCAAGGGTTGGCCCATGGCTAGCAATCCCTTTCCCTATAAAATATATTCATAATGACACCAAATATATACATATCATTGTAGGCTGACTCTTGTTAACCAAATCCCCAATTTTTCCTTTATCAAAAACTACATAACACTAAGCAGAGGAAGAAATTCTTCAGGAAAATTCAAAGGGAAGAACCAGGCTTGATGACCTGACATAGTAAACATTTCCAGTCTTCAGGGAATAAGCAAAGTACCTGTGCTTATGAAGGAGGAGGACCAGGATCCAGATATAGCACAGAATCACACCACACACCTCAGTCATGGAAAAAGCCCATGGGATTCTAGGAACACTGGAACAGAAAAAATAAAATGTTTAATATTTTATTTTTATTTTTTTGGTCTTTTTGAGACACAGTCTCCCTGTAGCTCCAACTGGCCTGGAACTCACTATACAGACCAGGCTGGTCTCAAACTCAGAGATTCACCTGGCCCTGCCTCTGCCTCTGCCTCTGCCTCTCGAGTGCTGGGATAGATTACAGGCATGTGCCGCCACACCTGGCTTTATTATTTTTTTTATATGTATGAGTGTATTGCCTGCATGTGTTTAAGTGCACCCGTGTCATGCAGTGCCCTGGGAGATCAGAAGAGGGCATTGGATCCTCTGGAACTGGAGTTATGGACACTTGTTAACTGCCATGTGGGTGCTGGGAACCAAACTGGAGTCCTCTGCAAGTGCAGTCAGTGCTCTTAAATGCTGAGTCATCTCTCCAGCCCCAGAAAAAAAGTTTTTGAAACTGAAGAGTAACAGATGCCTCACTGTTCTTAAGATGCTTTTCTAAGAATGACCTTAGAACTGCTCTCTCAGGAGATGGTTGGTATTTGCAAGCCTGGAGGAAAAATCTGTTTCATGAAGTATCAGAACCTTCTAGTTGTCTTTGATCTCCAGTAACAGCTCTCTGCAAGAGCAACCCTTCCCTCCCCATCTACAGTGCTCTTGCTCTCTCTCTCTCTCTCTCTCTCTCTCTCTCTCTCTCTGCTTTTTGAAATAGGGTCTCACTATGTAGCCCTAGGTGACTTGGAACTCAGTATGTAGATCAGGCTGATCTCTAATTCACATAGATCTGTCTGCTTCTGCCTCCCAAGCGCTGGGATTAAAGGCATATGCTACCACATCGTGCTAGTTTTATTTTTCAATTATGTATATTTGTGGGTTTGAGTGAGTGTAGGCTGCATACATGCAGGTATAAAAGCCAGAAGAGGGCATCAGGTCTCCCGGAGCTGGGGTCCTACAAGTGGTGATGAGATGACTGACATGGGCACTGGAACTTTGAGTAGTGCATGCTCTTAACCACTGAACAACAGCTCCAGCTCTGCAGCACCTGACTTCTTAAACTGTGGGTACTGAGGCTAGATGAGGGGTGTCTGCAAAAAACAAAACAACACAAAACACCTGGCAACAGTAAAGGTTTGTGAATGTGCAACAACCAAAAAATAATTCATCATCAAGGAACCCAACAAATCTGGTGTTTCTGCCAGTGCTTGCCCTGCTGCCCTGCGTGACCTCTTGGCTGCTGGGCTTCTCTGATCAGTGTGCACGTCACACTCTGCAAGTGATTCTACCATATCACACGTTGCATGAAATACCTCAGTTCGGATTCTGAGACTGCTGCATACTATGAACTGCAGTGTTTTTACTGTATATGCAAAGTCTTCTGCTTAAAAAGAAACACAATGGTTTCATTATGGAAAACAAAGATGTAATCATCAATGTTTCTAGTGTTACTCCTCAGCATGTGAGCATCAAATTGTTGTCTTTGGAGTGTGCTGTATTAGAAAGGCTGACTTTAGAAACCGCTGTTTGAGTTGCTAACTGGAGTTTCATAAAAAATTGTTAGGTGAATTTTGGCTTGGGATTAGAATAAGATTCCAACAATTTCTGAATGGCCTTGAACGTCTGTCATTTTATACTACATATTTACGTGAAGTGGTGTTCTCAGCATTGAGGATATAAAATAGAAGTCAAAATATTGATCAACTCTGAAAAACACTGAAGATGCTTTACATATCAAATATTTAGCCAAGATTTAATTATTTATGCAAAAAAATACCTATCTTGTTGTGTAAATTTGCCTTCTCAAATTATAATGTATGCCAGAGAATTGTTTAAAAATAAGTTTCTTTATCAGCAAATGTTGGATTTGTGTATCTACTTTTTTAAAAATTTATTTTTATTTTATGTGTATGAGTGTATTGACTGCATGTATATGAGTGCACCATGTTGTGCAATGCCGCAGAGGTCCGAAGAGGCTGTCAGATGCCCTGGGACTGGAGTTACGGACAGTTGTTAGCTGCCACGTGGGTGCTGGGATTCGAACCCGGGTCTTCTGCAAGAACAACCAGTGTTCTGAACCTCTGAGCCATCTCTCCAGCCCCTTTAAACACTTTTATGTCCTCTGTGTGCTTGTTGACAATGCATCGCCAAACTATTCTATCAATTTCTAATTTTCCTTCTGCAAAATCTCTCCCAGAGCTCTTCCCCTTCTTAGCTCAGCTCAGAATGGCTGCATTTTCTAGTCCTGTGTGGCTATTTCTTGGAATAAATTAACCCATACCTTGAAAATTCCTCTTTTCTATATATTTCCTGGTTCTCAAATTCTATGTCTTCTTTTTTCTGTTTGCTTTTCTGTTTTTTGTTTGGTTTTTTTTTTTTTGTCTTTTTCAGACAGGGTCTCCCTGTAGCCCCAGCTGTCCTGGAACTCACTATGTAGACCAGGCTGGTCTCTGTCTCACAGAGATCCAGCTTCCTCTGCCTCCCAAGCACTAGGATAAAAGGTATGCACTATCACACCAGGCTTGCTCTTAATTTTTTTTTGATGTAATTATGTGTATTGCCTGCATGTGTGTAAGTGTTCCCATGTCATGCACTGCCAGGAGGTCAGAAGAAGGCATCAGATTCCCCTAGAACTGGAGTTACGGATGGTTATTAGCCACCATGTGGGTGCTGGGAACTGAACCCGGGCCCTCTGCAAGAGCAGTCAGTGCTCTTAACCACTAAGCCAACTCCTCAGCCCCTTGCTCTTTATATTTGATGGTATTTATCTTTTAGCCAGGTTCTCAGCAATTACAGAGTAGTTGTTTTTAATGCACTGAGGCCACCCATAGAAAAGTTCACCTTGTTGGCTATACTAGTCAATAAGTTTTGACAAACATAGTAATGTAATCTCTGTACCATCACCACAATTAAGACAGAACATTCATTCCATCATTCCTGAAAGGTCCCTTGTGCCCCTTTAGAATCAACACTTTCCCACACCTCCAATCCTGAGGCAACAACTAACCAATGAAAGCACCCTTTTCAGAATGCCATACAGATGGAATCATATGGCAGTTATCCTGACACATTTTGTATGATTACTCTGGCTACTTTTATTCAGCATAATAGAGACTGACTTAATCTATAGTATTACACATAAAATTGTCTACTCACTGGTTGATAGATTTGGGCTATTCCCAGCATTTCGTGATTATGAACAGAGACCTTTGGTTTTGTATAGACCTGTTTTCATTTCTCTTAAGAAACACCTAGGAATGGAACTGGTGGCTACTGTCAATTTTATGTTTATCTTCTTAATCTGTTTCAAAAGCACTTGCACCACTTAACATGAGAATACCAGCTGTTCTATATCTTTATTAGGACTTGGTGTTGCCAGTTTTTCTCATTTGAGTTGTTCTAAGAAGTATGGAATAGGGGATGCTAATTTTTCCAGACTTTAAATTTTTTAAATAACCCTGTTCTGGCCTCATAAACAACTAACATTTGCCAATTTCCTCTTTTCTGTTTGCACTGATCTGTTTTCCTCAAATATCTGGTGATTTCGGACTGGCTGTTTATATTTGACAGTGAAGTACTAAAAAAGGCTTTCTGTAGAATTAGATGCTCTGAGTGCATTATGCCCAAGCTTTGTCATGTTGTAGAACTCAGTGCAGGGTGCTGATTCGAGGAGCAGGTCCCCAACCTCAGTTACCGACAGTCCTTCTCTGCCGTACCTCTTGGACCATGCCATCCTGCACCCCAAGTCTCGCAATAAACACCTAGCTTTCTCCTTTTAATTTGCAATCACTATCACTGTTTTTGCCTTGACAGAACTATAAGGCTTCTGCTTCTCACTGTCACTTTAGTGGAGCCCTGTAAGGCAATCTGCCAAATGCATATTTAGTCCTTCATAGCTATTTTGATGCAAAGCTTTTAAGATTTTATTTTTTAATCATGTGTATCTGTGTGTGGGTATATGCACATGAGTTCAAAGAGGGCATTCCCAGCCCTCAAGGGCAACCCTCCACTCCAACAGACAGATACATCTGATGGGTGTTGGGAGCTTCAGTACAAAGGAAAGTGGAAAGGAGATCTGAGGGGATATAGGAAGAACACCGACAGCATCTACCACCATTCTCTAATGAATAGTGCTTAAGATCACAGAGCCTTTAGTCAATAATACTGCAGATAAAGATCGGGCAGAATGTGGTTTCCAGTTCCCACTGCAAACTGAAAACACACGCCTGTGCAAAGTGTTATACATAAAGATTCAAAGCAACAATATTAATAATACCCCAAAGTGGAAACATTCATCAGCTGGTAAATAATACAATAAATGCGGTGTGTATGGTCTGAAGGGAAGAAGGAAATGATATGATTCTTTCCTTCCTCTCTTTCTCTTAAGACAGGGTCCCTTGAACTCAAGATTCTCCTGCCTCAGCCTCCTGAGTGCTGGATTACAAGTATGCTCAACCAACGCTGGCTGGAGGATTATTTCTAATGGGTATGATTTTCTTCTTCTGGGAATAACAAAAACATTCTGGAGTTAGTGGTGATGGTTATCACAACTTTACAAACACATGAAAACCCACCAAATTGCTCGCCCATTCCTCTACCAAACCACACTCCCCTCTTTCTTTTCCTGTGCTTTCTTTCTTTTTTTTATTACAAGGAAGAGTTTCTTTTGAGTTCCAGGGGAATTAAGAGTCCATCACAGTGGGAGAGGCATGGTGACGGGAGGTGGCCAGAGCAGGAGCAGAAGCCAAGGCTCACATCTTCAAGCAGGCACAGGACTCAGAGTTCCTGTGCTTGCTTATGAGTTGTTTATAGAAACTCTACATCCATTCTCTCATTTCTTGAAGAGTTAGCTTCTGGATCTCTCTCTCTTTCTCTCTCTCTCTCTCTCTCTCTCTCTCTCTAACCTCTCTCTCCCTCCCTACTTCTTCAATTGTAAGTCATGGACTTCTTGCTCTCTTTTATTTTACTTTTCTTCCCATGATCCTGTCCTTGTTCCTCTACCACAGCAACCTAAACTCATGACTGTAACCCTTGTCATTACCAAGATTTCTCCTCGTTGGAAGCCGGGCATGATGGCGCATGCCTGTAATCCCAGCAGACGCAGGTAGTTCTCTGTGAGTTCAAGGCCAGCCTGGTCTACAAAGTGAGTTCCAGGACAGCTGGGGCTACAGGAAGACCCTGTCTCAAAAAGGCAAAAAAAAAAAAAAAGATTATTTCTCGTGATTTCAATTTCAAGACTGTTATGTCTTAGGTATATAACAGATTTTTTTCAACAAAACTTTTGAGTGCTGTGATTTAAACTCAGGGCCTTGAGCATTCTGAGCAGGTAGGTGCACCACCAGAGCTAGACCTCTGTATCATGTACAATAAATTTCATGTGTTCTTTTTAAAAATTAAAAGAATCCACAGAGCTGGAGGGATAGCTCAGAGGTTAAGACCACTGCTATTCTTGCAGAGGACCTGGGTTCAGTTCCCAGCACCCACATGGTAGCTAACAACTGTCAGCAACTCCAGTTCCAGGGGATCCCACGCCCTCTTCTGACCTCTACAGGTACTGCACAACAAAGGTGCACTTACACACATGCAGGCATGCACTCATACACAAAAAATAAAAATAAAATATTTAAAAATTAAAAACTAAAAGAATCCTATGTTACCCAATACCCCTCACCTCTCCAGCTTATTCCTTCTAGTACCCACAGCTAGATCCTAGTTCACTGTTCTTTACCCAAATCATATCCCGCTTGTTTTCTTATCCACTGAGTCCATGTCCATGATGCCTCATCATACTCACTCGACTGTTTCATTTTCCTTCAACTGTCTGGTTCACGCCAACCCTACCTAATCAATTCTTCCACATCTGCACCTGCTGCTGAAAGAGGCTAGTAAACAAGATGACTACCAATCTCAGGGAGAGTCTGATGCTGCTACAGCACATCACTTATCATACATACCTGCTCCCACTCAATGAGAAGACCATCTCACCTCTTCCTTTCCCCTCAAACCCTTATTCTTGCCCCACTTCCTCTCTGTACACAGAGAAAATAGTCAGGACAACACTTGGGCTTCACTATCACAATAGCCTTCACCTCTGTTATTGATGAGCAGCTTCTCCATTCACAAGGCCTCAACCCTTTTCTATGGGGACATGGATCCAACAACTGAACCCCCTCTTTCCTCTAACATTCCCTTTGAACCAAAACACAAAAACAAAAAAGTGGGTCACCCCTATGGTCAGCACCACACCCTACAATATACCCTTATTCAAATACAAAACCTTCTGATCCCATCTCACCCTCACCCCGAGCTCCAACTCCACTTCTATGCAGTCCTTAAGTATCTTTACAGCAACTGTCTGATTGTCTCCAATTCCTCCTCCCTCCCCTCCTCCCTCAATTTATTTTGAAAATTTTTGATGCTACTGAAAAAGGTATAGAAAATAACGTTATATTCTTCACTTAAGCCCTTCAATTATTTATAGCAATTAATGTTTTGTCATATTTGCTCAATTTCACATATTTTTAGAGTCCTCCAAAGTAAGTTACAGATTTGCTTTTTCCCTCAACATTGAATATCTATCTCTAAGAACAAGGAAATCCTTTCATACAATTATACCCTGGGAACTGCAGCACTGAGTTAGCATCATTGCCTAACATGTAAACTACATTCAGACTTTCCTAATTATTCCCCAGATGTCCTTTACAACTACATTCTTCTTGATTAGAATTCAATTAAAGTGCATGTATTACTCTTGGTTTGCCTCTTCAGTTTCCTTACAATTTCACCCCTGGGTTTTGTTTTCTCTGACACTGCCATTTCTGAAGAATCTCAATCATCTGTCATGTAGAGTGTTCCAACTATTTTTGATCTGATTATATTCTTATGATTAGATTTAGGTTAAAATTTTCTGAGAGGCAATATTATTATATAGGTGATGTTTTATATATCATATCAAATGCATATGATGTCCGTTTGCTCCACTAATTGATGGTGCTATGATGATGTATTTGATCATGTGGTTAATATGACCCTTGCCTGATCTTGTCACTGAACAAGGACTTATTTCCTCTGTAATTAAGTAATATGTAAGATGACACTTCCAGGTCATGTGCATATGCTGCTTCTCTACAGCTCTCCATCAAATGGCTTTTAACATTCACTACTGACTTGCCTAAATCAACTAAACTAAGAATGCAAATATACAGCTTCACCTCTCACCCACTATTCCTGCTCATTTAGTACAGATTCACAGAGTATTTTCCTTACTATATTAACATTTATTACTAGTATTTTTCTTTTTGATATTCTCACAGTCCTAGTTTAATTGTTAGGCAGCCCCTTCAAGCCCCACCTTAGGTTCTTTTGGCATCTTTCCACTGCTTTGTGTAGTTCCTTATGGCACAAAATTAGCTTCAGATTACTTCATACTTCCTTTGCCTGGGGCTTAAAACCAGCCATTTCTCCAAGAAGCTCTGGTTTAGCTTCTTTTAGTGGGGAATGGTATTTAGACACCACACATTCACAATGCTCATGGGAACTGAGTTGGTGTATTCAACAGTTGCCCATGGATAAGATGACTCTTTCCAGTATTTATAATTACTTCAAATAGTGTCACAACAAATAACTTTTTGCACATGTATTTTTCATATCTGTGGAGAGTTACCTTCAGCTAAATCCCAACTATGGCTCATTCTCTTTGAACCCATTACAGTCAAGACATTTAACTTGTCAGTTACTGGTGACCAACATATTGCTAAATCCTATTCTCTTTCCTTCCCTCCCTCCCTCCCTTCGTCCCTGTCAAGTTCATGTTTCCCTTTCTTGGTATCTGAGTGCTATAAAAGATAACTCATACTTAATATGTCCACAACTAAATCATTAAATCTTTCCTCCAACTCAACTCCTTACATAGACAGACCTTACATCTCTGTGAATGGCAACTGTATCCTTTCAGGAGCTCAGGTTAAAACTTTTGAAACCACCCTTCACTTCTTTCTCTTATACCTTATATCCAATTGTACCAACAGATCCTGTTACCTTCACTCCTGAATATATGCAAGATTTGACTCTTTCATACCACGCTGCCAATACTAGCCTTATCTAATCCAATACTTAGTCTACTCTGATGAGCTCAGTACCTTCTTAATTTGGTCAGGACCTTGAGCCTCCTAGGCACACATACCACCACAAAGTTCCACTTTAGTACTTTTTCTTGTTGTTTAGACAGGGTCTCACTAAACTGCCCAGGCTGACTCTCAACCTGTGATTCTCTTGCCTCAGCCTCCAGAGTAGCTGGGATCGTAGGCACACACCACTGTACGTGCCAAAGCATGACCTTTTATACCACCAAATAAAGCAAATGGAAAGCCTACTCCATCCCCAACCACAACCACAACATTATCACACTTATCATTGCTGCTACTCTGGCAACCTTCTATAAATTTATCATCTAGAAACAAAACTTACCTGTCTAAGAATATATCTGGGAGTGGTGGATAGGTCTGCATGTCAGGCACTCGCTCATGAACGATAACCATAATGAAAGATGTAAACCCAAATACTATAAAAACATATATACAACTCAGTATGGTCTTCCAGTACTCTGGGTCCAATCTTCGAACAGAATGTTTGTTTTTGCCATTCATGTACTGGTACTGATCAGAACTCAAATCAGTGATGGGTCCATCACAGTCATGTGTAGGCTCCCCATTACAGAGCCAGTCTGCATTCTGAAGAGCACTAATGAGGGGAGTCATGGAACTCATAGGACTGTCACTGTTGTAGCCCATCTCTTCTAAAACGTCAATGTGTATTTTCTGCAGTTTTCGGACTGAGAGCATTAACCTTTTAATGTCTCCTAGGACTTTGATTTCCAGAGGAGGAGATCGGAGATCATACTCAGTCAGCGTAAGCAATGTGATTCCATCAAGTCGGTGCTTGTTGCATAAAATGTCCACGTATTCAAAAAATCCTTCATCCTTCAGCCACACAGCTACATGCTTGGTAGTCCATCTTCGAATGCAGAGTTGATTGGGGCCTGCCATTTCTTCTTCCACTTCCTGTCAAGAGAAAACAGGAAGACCAAACAAAACTTTAATGTATTCCAACAACTTCACTGAAGACCAAATACACATAAACACATGAGAAACTATAATTTTCCTATACTGCCCTATTGGTTTCCATAGTCAAACAAATTGTGATTTTCAGTAGATTGACATTCTAATAATTTTATGCATATAACCCCATAACAGAAGAAAGGCTAACGACAACTGTTTATTTGGATGCAGCTGGGGACTGGACCCAGGGCCTCACAGGATAAGGCTGTGAGGCAAGTGCTTTTAACACTGAGCTACATCTTCAGCTTTAACATTTTACAGAAAGGTATTTCATGAACGGCATTTCCACAACATATCAGTCATAATTTACTCTGAAAGACTGCTACTGAGAACAAGAGAAAAAACTGTTTTAATACTTTTTCACAAACTTTGTTATATGCAAAAAAAACCCCAAAATCTCTGAAATTGTCATATTCATAAAAAAATTATCTCCCCACTTGAGGGGAAAACCCTCCACAGATTATGGGTGACTATAATCTCAGGAAACTTAGATTGTGTATTTCCATCCACTGTCTACAAAATGATTTTTTGAACAGATATGAAGATTTTAAAGTGGCCATAAATATGAGTCTTAATAAGAGCTCAGCTTCCACTTGCTCTGCAAAGCCCTGTTACAGAACTGAACAATGCTCTTCTGAGACTAGTGATAACACTTTAAAAAGAAAACTGTCATTTCAATATACCTGTAACTATGAACAAAATGCATAGCCACTAATGTGCTCTTTTTTAAAGCACTGGTAATTTGCACTATTTGATCCTGCTCAGGCATTTACGTCCTTTTTCTACTGTAAAACCTTCAGTTACTTGGGTCTACTTCAGCTTTATAAAGTGTATCAGATACACAGGAAACAAGACCTATGTGAGAAAAAACAGTAACAACAAAAAAACTGTTTCTCAAATGTATACTTCTTTAACTATTAAAGCCTGTGAGTTTTCTGACATTTTCTAAATCTGATCTCTAAAGATTGGTATTTCCCTCTGAAATGTTTAATAACAGGACAGGTAAACACTAAAGCATTTGAAAAATACAGAAGGATGCAATAAACATCTAGCTTTAAAAAAAAAAAAGCAGTTGTGGAGCTGGAGAGATGGCTTGGCGGTTAAGAGCACTGACTGCTCTTGCAGAGGACCCGGGTTCGAGTCCCAGCACCCACATGGCGGTTGTGAACCATCCTTAACTCCAGTTTCAGGGGAATCTGACACCTTCTTCTGACCTCCACGGCACTGCACAACACGGGTGCACTCACTTACATGCAGGGAATACACTCACACTCATAAATAAAAATAAGAAAATATTTTTTTTAAAAAGCAGTTGCAATAACATGCTCCATTTCTTAATCTGGGCATGTGTTCTATAAGAATTCACTAAGCTATATACTTAATGAGCTGCACTTTTTTTTTTTTTTAAGTTTGCTTTAAAAAGCAAAACAAAGCATTAATACAAATGAATATCTTTCAGGACAAAAGTGTCCTTCCTCTCCCCCAGAGGCACATTTCCTGAGTTAAGCATTTATCATGGCTTTATAGCACACTCTGGAATAAGGAAGACTTCTAAGCTTCCTCAGATAAAGGAAAACAAAAGGTAGATGTTACATACTCTTCCCCTACCACATGAACAACTACCATAAAGACCTGCCATCACCGAGCAAAAGCAGATAGTTTAACCACAACGCTCACTTGTATCATTGAGAGTACTCAGAAAATAAGAAATAAGCTTGTCAAAACTCATGCAAACATAAAAGCCATGGAAATGTAGTCATTAAGCACTTATGGCTCAATACTAAAAAGGCAATCTTATTTTTTGGAAAACTTAAAGCATATTTTATTCACAAACCACATTTTTCCAGTCTTAGAAAATTAACATCACATTCATCTACAAGAAGTTTAAAATTTTTTTAAGTCTGCTCCAAGTTATGAAAAACTCCCTCAACTCTTTTTTTTTTTAACTGGAGTTTATCATCACCAACCTAAGGTCAAGAATTATGACTGGTATTAGCTTATATTGCCTTATATAGCAGGGGTAAAATTCCACCAAAACATGGTTTTGCTCTTTGCTAGCTCCCATACATACATAGATGCTTTGACCCTTCCTACCACATCCACATCTTCTTCATCCACACCTTCCCCAGGTATGCTCTGACTAAATTATCTCGTCCTTGGATATCTAACACAAATACGCTATAAAATCAGGAGCAGCTATGATACAGCAAATTTCACACATAAGTTAAAAAAAATTCTCCATTTTATTGATTCTGCTACTCTTCCCCTCTAACCACTTACCATCAGTGGGTTCCACGTCACTCCCATCCTGAGCACTACTCCTTCAGAAAGTTTCATTGAGCTCCCTGCTCAAAACGATTCTCCTCATCTTTCATGTTTCTCCCCCTCTTAGCTCACAGTTCTTTACAACTTCAATCAAGCCAACAGGCTTTGATGCCCACGTTCCAGCTACTAGAAAATATGAGTTACAACATGGAAGCCTCCAGGGAGCCTTTGAGCTTGCAGTGGGAATGCCCTAAAAGCATGACCCATTCCATGGCTCTGTTGCAGCAGGTCAGGGCATGTCCTTTAATTGCACACTACTATGTACTAGTCACAGGGCCACAGTAAATCACCACAGCTGTTACTGTGAGAGCTTGTAGTAAAGAGATATATTAAAAATTATAACAAGCTCTAGGGTCCATTTAATATTTACATTGCACTGCAGGAATTATAGGGAACAGAAGACATTCAACAAAAAGTATGATGGACACTGGCTTTATACTAATCAATAAAATGAAGAAATCAGGTTAGTAAATGTTTAAAGATGCTTTCAGTTTTAACCAATAATTGATATGATTCAATCGTCAGTAGGATGCTACTTCTGGCCAAGAAGTAAGAACAAAGACAAATTCTATCCTCTGACTTAAAAAAAAAAAAAAAAAAAAAAAAAAAAAAAATCAACAAATCAACATGCCAAATCCCTGAGAGACAGGAAACAAAGTGGGCTGGCATGACCCCAGCCTACTGCCTTGATGGCTTCTAGACCATGAGCAGCACAGGAGAGAAACCCCAGTGAGGTCTGGCAGACACGGTGAGCTGAGAATGAGAGTCAGGTGACAAGGTGGCTGTGCTCGTGGGACAGAATACTGGAAGATACAGAGAAAGAGAACTGCAGAGATGTGAAGAGGGTCTCCCTTGAATAGTGAGCACAATCTGATGTGCTAGGATGGAGATGAGACCATCCAAAGATTCCCAACATTCACACAGGGACAAAAGAAAGTCTATCCCAACCAGGCTGAAAAACAGCTTATGATACATGGAGCTCTAGGAAGAACCACAGAACAATGGTACTGAGGCAAAATTAAATATAAACCAATGGTTCTCAACTATATTTAGCAATATGTGGACACATGTTTGATTATCACCACTTGGGGAAGGAGGTTACTGGCCAGCACCAAGGAAGTAGACATCAGGGATGCTGATAAAAATCCTACAACGTGCCAACAGTAGCACTTTGCAGGCTGAGCCAGAATTGGACTACAGACAGAGTTGGAACTCAGTCTGGACTACACACTGAGAGCCTCCCTCAAAAAACACAAAACAAGTCGGGCATGGCAGCGCACACCTTTGATCCCAGCACTTGGGAGGCAGAGGCAGGCAGATCTTTGTGAGTTTGAGGCCAGCCTGGTCTACATAGTGAGTTCCAGGACAGCTGGGGCTACAAGAAGACCCTGTCTCAAAAAGACAAAAAAACAAACAAACAAAACCACAAAACACAAAACAGCTGGCTACAACAGTACACACCTTTAATCCCAGCATTCAGGAGGCAGAAGCAGGGGGATCTCTTTGAATTCAAGGCCAGCCTTGGTGAACATAAGCTGTTCCAGGACATAGTGAGACCCTGTCTCAAAAAATAAAGTTTATGATACATTAGATCCTCTCCCTGAAAACAAAGAATTATTTGGCCTAAAATATCACTGTGTTGCTAATGAGAAACACTGCCTTAGACTAAACATCTCTGGTCTAGCCTGACAAATCTTTTTTTTTTAAGATTTATTTTATCTTTAATCATGTGTATATGTATGTATACCAATACTGGAGCATGGAAGCCAGAGTTGTTAGATCCTCTGGAGTTGAACTCATCAGTAATTGTTAACCGCCTGATGTGGGTGCTGGGAATTGAACTCAGGTCCTCTGGAAGAGGAATACATGCTCTTAACCACTGAGCCATCTTTCTAGCCCCCAAGCCTAACAAATCTTAAAAGAAAGAATCAAGAGCCGGGCATGGTGGTACATGCCTTTAATCCCAGCACTCGGGAGGCAGAGGCAGGCAGATCTCTGTGAGTTCAAGGCCAGCCTGGTCTCCTTAGTGAGTTCCAGGACAGAGACCCTGTCTCAAAAAGACCGAAAAAAAAAAAAAAAAAGAATCAAGATGATAAAATTATTTTCAAGCAATTTAAATACATTTCAGAAGCTCAGGAATACTAATGGCTAACAGGACATATAAGAATATAAAACTAGCCAGGAATGAGGGCGCACGCCTTTAATCCCAGCTCTGGGTAGGCAGGGGTAAGGATGGCTATAAGATCTAGGCCAGCCTGCTCTACGTAGTGAATTGCAGTTGGGGCTACAGAGAGACTCTGTGTGTCAAAAAAAAAAAAAAAAACTGATAGAGAATTAGAAGGTAAGTAGGGAAATGTACACAGTAGTGTATGTTTAAGCACATTAAATAGTGGAGAAGCATGCTGGAACATGTCTATAATCCCAGCACTGAAGAGACTGAGGTCGCAGGATCTAGAATTTGAGGCCAACCTGGGTTAGCTCCAGATACACAGTGAGGCCCTTTTTACCTGAGGAAGCTAGGTTAGGTGACTCCCTCTTTGGAAAATCCATACCCATGTTCTCAAGTTTGACTGCCTTTCTTCCTGAGCCACCTCCTTCCTTCTCTCAACCTTCTTGTTTGACATCTGTATTAAAATATCTCTTAGCCGGGAGTAGTGGCACATGCCTTTAATCCCAGCACTTGGGAGGCAGAGGCAGGCAGACCTCTGTGAGCTCAAGGCCAGCCTGGTCTACACGGTGAGTTTCAGGCCAACCAAGACTATGTAGTGAGACCTTGTCTCAAAAAACAAAAATGAACAAGAAAGAGTGCCAGGGAAGGAGGCATAGCTGCACTGTCCGTTCACAGCAGCCTATGGGGTTCCTCTGTCTGTTAGTGACCTTAGTGAGTCAAACAGGGATTTGTGGCTTAAGTACAGTCAAGAGTTTCAGGGTAAGCAAATATGAAGCAGAGTTTGGATTTTTAAAAGATTCATTCATTCATTCATTCATCCATTCATTCATTCATTCATTCATTCATATCATTCACCTGCCTTTGCCTCTGGAGTGCTGGGATTTTGGGCTTTCCTTCTCTGATCCTCTTGACATCTCTTTCAGGGCTCCTTCTGCAGAATCCCTCTGCAGCACTGTTGATTCCCTTCCAATGACAGCCCCCCCCCCCCGTCTATAAACTTGGATCCTCTCATGTCTCCCTCACTTCAGACGGTTGAGACTTTTGATCCCTGAATAAGCAGCATCTACACTCCTATTCAGTATGGAAGAAATTAGAGAAAACAGAACGCTGACCTTCAGTAATCCTTAAGATGAAAGGATCAGCGTCTCAGAGGGGAAAATGAGGCTGGATAGAAAGAAAAGAGGCAAGAGCCCCTCACCTGGAGTCTGCAGCAAGAACTCCAGCACAACGAGCATCTGCCAAGAAAGCTACCCAACACAGAGAACTTTCCTTTCATACACAGGTGTTTTATGTCAAATAACAACTGGCAAGGCTTTAAGGCCTGACCCTGTGCGACCTTGGGGTAAGGGCCTCATTCCTTCCTCCAATTTTTTGAGAATCTCCAACAAGATTGTTAATTTTGTTTGCAGTAAAAGCACCCCAACTTCCTGGTCCCAGTGATCTAGACTTTAGCAATTACAATCCTGTCAGTTTCTCAGCAAGCTACTGTGCTCTCTGTTATATATGACTGCTATTAAGACAGTGAAGCCTGACTCTTTGTGAAGCCCACACCCATGTTCTCCAGGTCTCCTGTTTTCTTCCTGAGCAGCTCCTCTTAACTAACCTGAACAAAACCCCCAAATCTGCTTGGGAGGCAATCAAACACAAAGTAGAAGGAAATCATAGAAATGAGAGCAAACATTAAATAAAGATATGGGCCAGCAAGATGGCACATCAAGCAAGCGTGCTTGCTGCCAAGTCAGACAACCTAATATGATCCCTGGAAACTACATGGTAGAGAGAACAGACTCCTTCAAGTTGTCCTCTGACCACATGAAGGTCATGACAAGTATGCCTCCCACCAATAAATAAATGCAAAAAATATTTATTTTGGGGGGCTGGAGAGATGGCTCAGTGGTTAAGAGCAATGGCTACTCTTCCAGAGGACCCAGATTCGATTCCCAGGACCCACAGGGCAGCTAACAACCATCCTTAACTCCAGTTCCAGGGCTCCAATGCCCTCTTCTGACCTCTGCAGGCACTGGGTGATATAGTATACTTACATACATGCAGGCAATACACTCACATACATAAAATAAAAACAATAGATTGGCTAGGGCCAGGAATGGTGGTATGCCCCTTTAACTGCAGCCCTCAGAGGCAAAGGCAGGTGGATCTCCATAAGCTGGAGGCCAGCCTTGACCACACGGGGGGGGGGGGGCATTCCTTTTTCAAATTTTTTCATTTATTATTTTCATTTATTATCAGAAGGTGTTGGATCCCACAAAACTGGAGTTACAGACCGTTGTTAGTTGCCATGTGGGTGCTGGGATTTGAACCTGGGTCCTCTGCAAGAACAGCCAGTGCTCTGAAGCCATCTCTCCATCTTCCTTAAAAACATTTTTACCGGCCAGGGGTGGTGGCACATGCCTGTAGTCCCAGCACTTGGGAAGCAGAGGCAGAGGCAGGTGGATGTCTCTGAGTTCAAGGCCAGCCTGGTCTACATAGTGAGTTCCAAGACAGCTGGGGCTACAGGGAGACCCTATCTCAAAAAGACAAAAAAAAAAAAAAATCTTACCAAGAAAATTTGAGGTCAAGAGGGCCTCACTGTTCTGATGTACAGCATCAAGGAAGAAAGAATACCAATTCTCTACACACCCTTCCAGAAAAGGAAGGACTATTTCTGAATTCATTCTACAGGGTCAGTGTTACGCTGACACCAAAATCAGAAAGGGATCACAAGAAAACCATGAATTGGCATCCCTAATGAGCAGAGATGCAAAAATTCAAAACAAATTCAACAACACATAAAGTCATAACTAAGTAGCATTTATCCCAAGAATACAAAGTTGATTTAGTACCTGAAAATCAAAATAACTCGCCATATTAACAAACTAAAAGAAAGAAGCTACAAGATCACCTCATAATATGAAGAAAATCATTTGACAAAACCAATCACTCCTTTCTGCTTTTAAAACTTCACCACTTGATAAAAGCATCTTTGAAAAGCCTGTAACTAACATCCAATCTAATGATAAAGAACCAAATGGCTCCTTCCTAATATCTGGAACAAAGATGAGTCCTACTATTTCTAGAAAACATTAGAAGTTCTGGCAAATGCAGTAAGACAAAGAAGAATACAAGTCGCACAGATGTTAAAAGGGAGAAACAAAGCCATTAGCTACCTTGATCATTCATATTAGAAAACTCAGTGGGACTCACTTTGGTGGCACATATATCAAAACTGGAACAGTAGAGAGATTAGCATGGTCCCTGCACAAAGAGGACACAGGAATTCAAGAAGTGCTCCACACTGTTTGGGACAAGGGATGTATGTAGCTTACTGCTTAGCACTGCAGTGGCTCCTGGTTTAATCCCCAGCAAGTGAGAAAACACACACACACACACACACACACACACACACACACACATCATATATGCTAAATATAAAACATTTAAAAAACAATGTAATCCATCAAAAATTTCTAGAATTGGCTAGGCATGGTGGTACTTGGGAGGCAGAGGCCATCAAATCTGAGTTCAAAGGTAGCCTGATCTATATAACAAGTTCCAGGCCAGCCTGGAAAATCAATTGTATGAGCTAGTCCAGTTGGTAAAGTGCTTGCCAGGCATGAGTACCTGAGTTTGGATCCCCAATGGCATCTAAAGTAGTAAGTTCCAGGCCAACTTCCTAGGGAGACCCTGTCTAAAATAAAATCAATCAATCAATTAATTAATTAATTAATTAAAGGAGGTGGGGTGGTGAGTGTAGTGTGAGTCTGTAGTCCCAGTGCTGGAGAGACTGCAACAGGTGGATCCCTAGCAGCCTACTCAAATCTGTAAATCCCAGGATGCCAGGTTCAGTGAAAGACTGAAAAATAAGACCTCAAAACTATGGTGGCACACACCTTTAATTACAGCACTTGGGAGGCGGGCAGGTAGAACTCTAAGAGATCTTAGAGTTACCTGATCTATACAGCAAGTTCCACACATTTACACCCTCTAGATTAGTACAGCTCTCAGCCTTGGTCAGAAAAGCTATTTGCATTGCGTAACGGTGACTGCAGAGTCTCATAACTGATCAAAGTACTAAGAGTAAGTGACTGTTGGCTCTTCAGTCCTAAACGGGATATCTATGTCATCCTTCAAGTCTCAGTAGGTGTGGAAAGAGTGCCATAAAACACTTTCTTCTGCTGTCACATGGCTGTTTTACCCATGAACTCACTGCAGCAGGGACAACGTGTACAAGACCAGACCCATCAACATTCCATCCCCCTGCTCCACCCCTCCCTGAGAAGTTCTAAGCAGCTCATGTTTGTTGGGGGAGGGGAAAACATATTAAGTTAAGTTGTCCTAGCTCAAGTAAACAGTCCTCCCCACTCCCCATGGTCATGCAAGCCACCTTAATGCAGTGCAGTGATGGGAAAAAAGAAACACTAAATAAAAGTAGGAGGGGGACTTATTGGAAACAATTAGGGGTTCAGTGAGACTGGGATGAGGTAACAGAAGATATGGGGGGACAGGATCAAACATATTCTATGTATGTATGAAACTACTGTGAAAAGTTGAACACATTCAAAAAATAAAGAAGGAAAAAACAAGGTAGAGAGTGAGTTAGACACCTAACTACATCTAGCCTACACACCTACACCCACCCACACCCACACACCACACACAGCACATACACCACACATACACCACACACATTACACATATACACACCACACATACACATGCATGCACCCTCACACAAAATCAAGCGTCTACATTGTGGTAACAAAAATTGGGAATTTGTGAAATATAAATAATAACATCAATAAGTATCAAATACTAGAGAATAAATGTGAAAAAACATGGGTAAGACCTGTAACTAAAATTCACACATTAATGCAAGACATTAAGTACCTAAGTAATGAGAAATGATTAGGTCAAAAACTCAATACTTCAAGATGCCGATTCTCCCCCAAACTGACCTACAGATTCTTTCCAGTTCCAATCAGGACTCCCAAAAGGCTTTTTTGAGAATACTGACAAATGGATTTCAAAGTTCTTAGAGAAATGTAAGGGACCTAGAATAACTGAAACGACTTTCAAAAGAATCAAAATTAAATGGCTTGTGTAAAAATGTTGTACAGCTCCATATATTTGTTTTCTACTGCTGTGTAACATGTCTCCATAAACTTAGTGGTCACACATACTCCCTGCATAGTTATTATCCTGAAAACTAGCAGCTTCTTCTGTTTTGAATTTCCCTTGTACTAAAATCTCTTCTTTCATAAAAGCCCAGTCCCTTTCAAAGGGTTGCCAGATTAGGTTAGATCCACCAAAGATAATCTCCCTTTCTTAGTCAACTGTGTCATACAACATAATCACCAAGGTGATATACCACCATATTTATTCCTATCATACCAGCGTACAGGACAATGGAGTCACCTTAGAGTTCTGCCATCATATCGCCCATAGTAGTACTGAAATAGTAAAAATGAATGGAATGGAGTGGAATACAGATGGTAGGAAGACCCACACACATACCTGACGTCCTACAAATGTGCAAAAGCAATCTAGTGGACAAAGCATGGCTTTGTCAAATGGCACTGGAAGAAATGGTTATCTGCATGCATAAAATATCAACCCATATCCTTTACCACCCATAAAAATAAACTAAAAAATGGCTCCTACACCTAATAGGAAGCCTAAAAGTAGAAAATTCCTAGGAGAGCCGGGTATAGAAGCACTTATCATTCAGGTTGGCCTCTAGTTCACGATCTTCTTGCCTAGCCTTCTCAAGTGCTAGGATTACAGACATGAGTCATCACATCTGGCTTGAGTTCAAAATATTTTCTATGAATTAGGAGGCTCTAAAGTTCAAAGTCAGCCTGGGCACACACACGCACACGCGCACACACACATGAGAGAGAGAGAGAGAGAGAGAGAGAGAGAGAGAGAGAGGTGAAGAACAACTTAAGAGAAATCTTTCTGATCTTGAGATAAAATCTCTTAAATACAGCATCAAAAGAAAAATGTGTAAAATAACCAATTGGTACACTAGACTCTGTCTGTCTATGTAGGGAATAAAAAGTACTTTGTGGTGATTTTTAGTCTGCAAATTTCTGTGCTACATGATTTTTTTTTTCATTTGTTTTTGTTTTCTTTTTTGAGACCAGGTCTTACTGTAATATGTAGCCCAGGCTGGCCTGGAACTTTTTAATTTCCTGTTTTTGCCCATCAGGTGCTGGGATTATAGGCATTGCACCACCAAACCTGGCTGTTTGAATCTTTTATAGTAACGTATTTCTGGGGCTGGAGAGATGGCTCAGTGGTTAAGAACAATGGTTGTTCTTGCAGAAGACCGGGGTTTGAATCCCAGCATCCACATGGCAGCTAACAACTGACTGTAACTCCAGTCCCAGGGGTCCCGACAGCCTCTTCTGACCTCCGTGGGCATTGCACAACATGGGTGCACTTACCTACCTGCAGGCAATACACACATACACATAAATATAATAAATAAAAAAATTTTTTGAAGTTAAAAAAGATAATGTATTTCTATGAAACAGAGACATATATAGAAGCAATACATACTCATCAAAAAGTATTGTAACTCTGTTAAAAATTACTACCTAGGTGGGCATGGTGGCACATACCTTTAATCCCAACACTGTGGAGGCAGAGGCAGGTGGATCTCTGTGAGTTCAAGGCCAGCCTGGTCTACATAGTGAGTTCCAGGACAGCTGGGGCAACAGGGATACTCTGTCTCAAAAAGACCAAAAAAAAAACAAAAAACCTTACTACCTACAGATCTACTATTATATTTCTAACAGACAAATTTTTCTATAAAGAAAACCACAATTTTTTAAATATTGTTTTATTTAACATTATGTGAGTCCTATTTAATATTACAAAATATTCTTTACAAATAGTTTTGTGGCATTGCACTGTATTACTTATTATGCAATAATTTATCCAGTTCCGCATTGTTAGCGATTGTTCACAATTTTATTACTATTACAAACAGCACTACATAACCTTAGGACAGATTTCTACAAATAGAATAAATATGTCAAAGATCCAAGATACTATTTAAACTCTAACTCAGGTACATCATTAAAGCCTGAGTCACTTCTGTCTTCTGGGACTAGCTCTGTGGCCCTAGCTGGCCTAGGGGTCACTGTGTGGACCAAGCTGGCCTCAAACTTGCTGTGATCCTTCTAGCTTTGCCTCCCCAAGTGCTGGAATTACAGGTGCTTGCCACCATGGCCAGCGTGATCCACATATAAAATCTTTTAATGTAAAAGCGTGGTACTTGTTTCTCCCAGAAAAGTGTTTTGACACTGCCGGGGGCTGGACCCAGTACCTCAAGTATGCTAGGCCAGGGTTCTACCCCTAGGGTAGTCCCCAGCCCTAAAATGTTAAACTGACATGTATAAAGGAAGCATTTTAATTTAAAATGAAACCTAAAAAACAGTACATTCTGAAATCATGAGCAATTAAGAAAGCACTTACACATCAAAGGTTAATACTGTGTCATCAAAGAATTGGAAAAAACCATCCTAAGATTCACATGGAAGCACAAGACCTTGGATAGCCAAAGCAACCCTGAGCACTAAGAGCAATGCCGGGGGGATTACTATACCAGATTTTAGGCTGTATTATAGAGTTATAGTCATAAAAACAACAATGGTACTGGCACAAAAATAGACCCATAGATCAATGGAACAAAATTGAAGATGCAAATATGAGTAAATATGACTTCAGCCACCTAATATTTGACAAAGTGGCCAAGAACATTCACTGGAGGAAAGACAGCATGTTAAGCAAATTGTGCTGGCAAAACTGGATCTGCACCTGTAGAAGAATGAAACTAAACCCCTATCTTTCACCCTGCACAAAA